CACTGTGAATGCTGGCTTAGAGAATATAGAACCACTCACCGCTCTCTGGCCTTCTGGTCAACCAATAAATACATAACCTTGCTTTAATATACTTATGTTCAAAGACACCTTATTTAATATATATTGTGGATTCATGAACATTAAGCCCACAGCCAACAGCACTGGAGCTTATGCGGGAATGAAGCTCACCTAACTCTTGCATTTCCCCCGTAAGGCTCATCGGGGCCTTCTGAGCTTAGGACGCTAGCCAGCACTTCCGCGCTAGGCTTGGGGCCATTTTAAACAGCAAAATCACCAACACAAACACAAAAAGGTGTAAACACAGTGCTAAATAGAATGTGAGAAAGACACTTCATGAGAGCTGGAACAAGGTCAGACTGTCACCTTGTGTGACTTCAGCTGGGAAGGGGCACATCACGAAAGTTAACATTCATGCCACTCTGCGCATGTCCACAAGTGATTCTGAGGTTACAGATCAACTGTAGCAAGTAGGTGAAACCACAAAAACAGAATCCATCAGGACACTCCCATACCCGCTTCTAGGGGACCCCGAATGAAGACATCTCAGAGGTGTTTTCCTCCTCAAGTAAATCGGGGGCAGCTAAAAACCCCAGAGGAAATGCAAAACAGTAATTTCAGGACTTGCCATCAGGTAACAGGGAGGTGACCGAGAGAGAGAGGTGGGAAACCAAGGAGGTGAGTCCTGGGATTTCCCCAGTGTGTTGCCTGGAGACAGTTTCCAGGCCGGAGGGTGGAGCTTCTCCGGGTGGAACTGGGGGTGGCGGTGATCTGGGGAGGTGGAGCTTGGAGACCCGGAGGCAGGGGTGTCATAGTCCTGTAACAGAGCCCCGGGGAGCAGAGAGCTGTGCGCAGAGGGCTCTGGGGGCCAGCGAGGATCAGAACCTGCCTTTGGCAAAGCTCACCAAGGCCGGGGAAAGGAGCGCCTGGAGGAGCCAAGGGAGGAATCCCCAGCGCTCACACAGAGTGGGCAGCAGCCCCGCTCCCAGAGAGGAGACCCTTGACATACACGGGAGACCGGGAGAGGACTCAGACCTTGTCTCAGCAGTGGAGACACTGACCCTCAGTTAAATACCGCTCCAAAGGCAAGACCTTCTGGGGAGAGCTCGAGAATACTTACAGAGATACAAAAGTATCTGGTATCCAACAAGATAAAATTCACAGCATCTGGCATCAAATTAAAAATGATGAGGCATGCAAAGAGTCAGTAAAATATGACCCATGATGAGGAGGAAAATGAATTGAAACAGATCAAGAATACTGAATATCGAGAAGCGCCCCAAAGATACGGAGAACGCAGGGGTGACAAAGCCACACGTGGATGGGTCTCCCTGAACAGGCGACTGGGGTTGACACCCAAGTGGAGGAATGAGGCATATGGCTGGACCTCTGCGAAAAGAGCCCTCAAGCGGAGGGGAGATCAGGTAAAGGCCCTGCTGTGGGACGAAGCTGGCCAGCCTGAGGTCGGTGTTACTGGACGGGGGAGGAGGCGCTCTGCCCGATGGTGGAGACCCTGTACCCTTAGGTCTCTGAGAGCCCCCGGGAAGGGGAACTCTCCCTCTCATCATCCCCAACCCCCAGAGGTCCCTACATTCTAAACCACAACTCCCAGTGGCTTCCCAGGCGGCCCAGTGGTTACGATTTCACCTTCCACTCCAGAGGGTATGTATGGGTTCAATCCCTGGGTGGAGAGCTCAGATCCCACGTGCCTTGGGGCCAAAAAACAGAACAACAGAAACACTACTGTAGCAAGTTCAATAAAGACTTTAAAAATGGCCCACATCAAAAAAAAAAAAAATCTTTAAAAATAAACTCTCAGGGACTTCCCTGGGGTCCCAGTGGGGGAAAAAAGAGAAAGAGTCACTTCTGCAGGTCCCGTGGGTCCAGAAGAATCTGAGAGGTCAAGGCTCTCAATTGCATTTACTCATATATGCCCAGCCCAGGTCTCAGGCTCCCACCACTTTCCTAACAGTGATCTGACCTTGGCACACAAGGCCCGTCAGAACTAAGAATCCCACCTTCTCAGGAGCTCTTACCATTATGTCTAAAGCCTGATCCTCCCTCTGCAGGTGGGAGCTCCTCAAATGCTGCCCAGGCAGACCTCTGGCTTTGCCTTTGGCCTGAGTGATTTTTCACTCTGAGACTGTCATTATCCCTTGTGAGTAAATCAATGGGCCGGGCAAAGTCCTTCATTTCCACGGTCCTTACAAAGACATTGCACCAGCCAGGTGCAAATACCTTCCACCATANATGTCTCTGCTTTTTAAGATGCTGTCTAGGTTTGTTACAGCTTTTATTCCAAAGAGCTAATGTCTTTTAATTTCATGACTGCAGTCACCATCTGCAGTGATTTTGGAGCCCAAGAAAATAGTCTCACTTTTTCTATTGTTTCCCCATCTACTTGTCATGAAATGATGGGACCGGATACCATGATCTTTGTTTTTTGAGCCTTGTCTAACTCAATGAAACTATGATTCATGCCGTGTGGGGCCACCCAAGATGGACAGGTCATGGTGGAGAGTTCTGACAAAATGTGGTCTACTGGAGAAGGGAATGGCAAACCACTTCAGTATTCTTGCCTTGAGAACTCCATGAATAGTATGAAAAGGCAAAAAGATAGGACACTAAAAGATGAACTCCCCAGGTTGGTAGGTGCCCAGTATGTTACTGGAGATCAGTGGAGAAATAACTCCAGAAGGAATGAAGGGACAGAGCCAAAGCGAAAATAATGCACAGTTGTGGATGTGACTGGTGATGGAAGTAAAGTCGATGCTATAAAGAGCAGTATTGCATAGAAACCCAGAATGTTACTTCCATGAATCAAGGCAAATTGGAAGTGGTCAAGCAGGAGATGACAAGAGTGAACGTCAACATTATAGGAATCAGTGAAGTAAAATGGACTGGAATGGGTGAATTTCACTCAGATGACCATTATATCTACTATTGTGGGCAGGAAGCCCTTAGAAGAAATGGAGTAGCCATCATAGTCAACAAAAGAGTCTGAAATGCAGTACTTGGGTGCAATCTCAAAAATGAGAGAATGACTGTGTTTGTTTTCAAGGCAAACCATTCAATATCACAATAATCCAAGTCTATGCCCTGACCAGTAATGTTGAAGAAGCTGAAGTTGAACGGTTCTACGAAGACCTCCTTCTAGAAGTAACACCCAAAAAAGATGTCTTTTTCATTATAGGGGACTGGAATGCCAAAGTAGGAAGTCAAGAGATACCTGGAGTAACAGGCAAGTTTGACCTTGGAGTACAAAGCGAAGCAGGTCAAAGGCTAACAGAGTTTGCCAAGAGAATGCACTGGTCATAGCAAACACCCTTGTCTAACAACAGAAGAGACGACTCTACACATGGACATCACCAGATGGTCAATACCGAAATCAGATTGATTATATTCTTGTCTCCATCACTCCCAAAATCTTCAAAAGCCATATCTATACTGCTGGCGTCTGATTTTACATCTTCAAGCCAGACCTGTCCCCTGACCTCCAGCTATTATAAACCCCCAGGTATCCATACATCTAGCTGCCCACGCCTCCCCTCCCTTTGGCCATTGAAACGCCATCTTCAACGATGTGTGTCCCCCCTGAGCCACTGCTGACCCTCTGCCCTCTGCCTGCTCCCAGCCTTCCCATCTCCTTCGAGGGCAACTTGATTCCTCCAGTCGCCTGGACCCGAAACTTGTAACCATCCTGGACTCACCTGTCTCTCACCCACAAATGCACCGACAAATCTCACAGGCTCTTCCTTAACATACGTGCGCAAGCTGAGCACTCACCTCTGGTTCCAGGGAGGCCCTCGTGTGTCCCTGCAGCAACGCCTCAGTCGGTCTCCCTGCTTCTGCCCTGCGCTCCCGCTGTCTGACTTCAGCAGCCAGAGCGTCCAGTTAGCATCCCAGTCCGTGGCGCCTGTCTCCTGCTTACAGCCCTCCAAGGCTCCCATCTTAGAGGAAAAGCCCAAGGGCTGGCAGTGCCCCCCAAGGTCCTAAAAGATGCCCCCCTTACCTCTCTCATCCCACCCCCACCGGCCCACCCTGCTCCAGCCTCACGGGCCCTCTGCGGGTTCTCCAAAGGCCAGGCGCGCTCTTGCCTTTGCACCTGCTGGTCCTCCCCCTCCACTGAGCCGCCCAGCCCTCCTCCTTCAGCAGAGCTTCTGGGACCCCTTCCTCACTCCGGTGGATTGCCCGCCCCCAGCCCCTGCTCTCCGGCCCCCTCCCTCTGTCTTCTCGTTAGCACTGTCACCATCTCTCCCACTGTAGGTCTTTCTTAATCGCTCCCACTAGGCTGTAAGTTCCACAAGGCACACATTTTGCTGTTTTATTCGCTGCGATCTCTGCGCCCAGCCCCCAGGAATAGTTTCGGCAGAAGGTGGAAGCTCATCATTATGTGTGGTTTGAATAAAGGGAGTGGACAGCGGAGGGAGCGTACCCTTCCTGTTTCAGCATCCCCCTCCCTGACCCCACCTGCTCGGTGGCCAGGGCCAGGGGGATCAGGTGGGCAGNGGCAGAAGGTGGAAGCTCATCATTATGTGTGGTTTGAATAAAGGGAGTGGACAGCGGAGGGAGCGTACCCTTCCTGTTTCAGCATCCCCCTCCCTGACCCCACCTGCTCGGTGGCCAGGGCCAGGGGGATCAGGTGGGCAGGGGGAGCTTGTTATGGGAGCATCTCCACCAGCTCGCCTCCTTTTCAGAAGGAGGAAGACGGGGTCCTCAGGAAGGGAGGGAGGGCCCAGCCTGGCTCTCCGGGATCACCTGAGCCCGCCAGCTCCACGCATTTCTGTCCCAGGAACAGCCCTCGGGAAATCAAGCGGGAATCCTCTCTCCCGCCGCTTTGGGTGGGGAGAGAAGCCTTCCCGGGATCAGACGCAGACCGGACCTCCCCGGGGTGTTCCCGCTGGGATTGGTCCCAGCGGCGCCAGTGTTTGTTTACCCGGGTCGAGTTCCCGGGAACAGTGAGGGCTTTAGGACCAGGAGCCGGGCGCCCGCCCGCCCGCCGGGCCCGCAGCGTCTTGGCCGAGCGCAAAGCGCTGTATGAAAGCAAATTAGGCTGCTCCGGCTTCACATCTGTGGATCCGACCTGACCTGAAGGGTCCAAAGGAGGACGGGGGTCAGCTCTGCCGGACCGAGACCTCCCGGTTCCCCGCAGACACCCCACAGCAACCTGACCCTTCATGCAAGCGGCGAGGGGGCTGGGAGCGAAACACGTGGGACTCGCCCCCTGAGCAGAAAGGAATTATTCTTTTTCCCAAAGAGGAAAAGGGCACCAGGGTTCAGTCTGAAGTGCCCCCCCTCCCCGCCCCAGGCCCCCGTGGATGGGCTTTCGGAAGGCAATTAAAGACATCCGCTCAGAGAGGACCTGGGCTGGGACCTGGGTCCGTAGCTTTCTGAGTGGCAGCCGGTCTTACACACGCTGCTGGCAAGTGTCAACTGCGGGGGGCAAAGGACCAGGTTAAGTGAGCTGGCAAAAAAAGAAAAAGAAAAAAACCCGCTTCCAAGTGGACCCAGGAAGCCAGGTTGTGGTGCCAGCGTCGAGGACCCCGGAGCGGGAGGAGACGGTGAAGTGGAACATGACCTGTTGCGTTTGGCAGCTCCCCGCAGCATGCTCGTAAGGAAGCGGCGCAGACACGGACCCTGCCGGCGGCAGGCGCTGCTCGCCCTCCTGGTGCTGGGGTGCGTGCTGCTGATGCTGGGGGCCCTGCACCCGCCCCCGCACGCCCTGCCCCGGGCGCCCCCAGTCCCCCAGGCGGCCGCGCGCAGCCCCCAGGCCGCCTATCGCCTGGACTTTGGGGACCCCCAGGAGTGGCTGCTGGAGTCCGAGGAGGAGGACCAGGAGTACGGCCCCCTGCCGCCCCTCGTCTCCCTGCGAGAGGACCAGCTCCTGGTGGCCGTGGGCTCGCTCAGGGCCGGAAGGAACCGGAGCCGGGGCGGGCGAGGCGGCGGCTACCGGCTTATCCAGCGGCCGCACAAGCAGCAGGACGCGGCGGCCCCGGAGAGGGACTGGGCGGCCGAGGAGGAGGATGGGGAGGACGAGGAGGCGTCCGAAGAGGGGGAGCGGACCGCGCTCAGCCCGGAGGAGGCGCCCAGTGCCCGCAGCCCCGCGCACAGAGGGGGCTCGCGGCATCCGCTGTAAGTAAACCCCGGCCGCCCCTTCCCGGTTCCTGGAGGGGCGCAGACGCTCCGCCCGCCGCTCCGGCTGTGGCAGGCGGCGCTTCTCCAGGTGTGGTCCCCGGACCCGTGGCATCACCTGGGGACTTGTTAGAGCCGCAGAGGCAGAAACCCCGGGTGCGGTCCGGCCGTCTGTCTTTAACCAGCCCTCCAAGGGAGACCCACCGTCCTAAAGACGGAGAGGGAGGAACTCTTCCCCGTCCCTTCTCCTCCCCACCGACCCGGGTTCCAGTCCTTCCGGCCCTGGATGGCTCTGGATCGCCGGTCAGCCGTATCTCTAACCCCGAGGGGCCTGGGAGCCGATGTTCCCCGAGACGCTTCCAGGACTAAGTCACTCCAGCACAGTTAGATATTGTGATTGTTAGGCTTGCTTTTCATTTGGATGAAAGTAACGACTGTAGTTAACATTTATGTGGATCTTGCCATTGCTTGGCTTTAATCAAAGAGCTTTTCATGTATCAACTGATAAAGGCCTTACAACTTAGCGAGACGGGTGCTAGCTCGGCTATCATGCCTATTTTATAGGTATGAGCATTGAGGTGGAAATGGCAACCCACTCCAGTACTCTTGCCTGGAAAATGCCAAGGACGGAGGAGTCTGGTGGGCTACAGTCCATGGGGTCGCCAAGAGGGAGACACGACTGAGCGACTTCACTTTTTCACTTTCATGAGGCACAGAGAGGCCAAGTGACTAGTCCACAGTCACACAGCTGGGAGGCACCGAAGCAGGGATTTGCTCCAACCAGTCCAAGCCCCTCCCTACACTATGCCTTCCCCCTTAGCCCACTAGACGAGGTGGACCGCGCAGGACCCAGGAGCTAGAATACTGCGCTGATGCAGTCTGACCTGGCAGGGTGGTTCCACCACCTCCAGGACCAGCTCAGGAGGCAAGCTGGGAGGTATGATGACCCACAAACTGTGCGCAGGGAGACGGTGGACTCATCCTGGACCCCCTGCGCTCCGCACCATCCCCAGCATCCAGGGGCAGTGCAGCTGGGTAGCCGGTGATCGGGTCCCTTCCTGGTAGGCACGGCTCCTCCCGGAGTTGGGAGAGTCTCCCAGGAAGCAAACCCACCCTCCGCGCCTCTGGGTGGGAGGTGCGGAGCGGGGCAGCAGGGGGCGGGGCCACGTAGTCCTCGGAGCCGACCCGGCTCCTGCGGGCGCGGCTCCTTGCCTTCAGGGAAGGGCAGATGCGCAGACTCTGGACTTCAGCGCCTCGTCCAGGTCGCAAGCCCCAGCTCTGCGGCTCGTCTCCAGGTCTCAACCGAAACAACTCCTTTCGGGAGACTCCCAGACCCCGTCAGGCCCGCCCTGTCGCCGTTTTGTGCTGCCGGCCGCTTTAATTCACAGCTCTCGCTGCAGCTGAGGCTAAATGGTCCTCGATGTATTGGTTTATTCAGTGCCTGCTTCCCCCGCCGTGCGGTGGGCCTGGAGGCCCAGCACACAGCAAAGGAGCGATTGCTGAATGAGCCAGTATATCGTCTTCTAATTCTATGATGCATCTTTTCACTGGCCTAGAGCAAGAAGGTTTTCCAACCAGACACACGGCCTCAATCAAGTCTGTGGCTGTGTGTGTGTGTGAGACTGGGTGTCTGCCTCGCGCAAGGTGAATGCACTGTGTTGCGTGGTAAATGGACGCTGTGCAAGTGTGTTGTGTGCAGTATTAGCGGTGCCCGTGGTGTGATGTGCTGTCACGTACGCCTGAGTGTCCTCAGGGTGTCCGTGTTCGCGTGTGTACACGTCATGATTGCATGACGTGCGCACACCTCACACATGTTGTGCACGTGGCCTTGTGTCTCTGTCGTGATGTGATGCTCAGGCGGCATGTGTTTGCGGTGCTTGTGCACGCATATTGCGCTGTGACTGTGCTGCACATGTGTGGTGCGTGCGATGCGCCGTGTGAGCGGTGTGAAGCGCATGGGTGTGGCCCACCATGTATGGTACACGTGCGCGTTCTGTGCGCTGTGCCTGCGGCATGGGGTGCGCCTGCGCTGTGCGGGTGCGCGCGCGCGCGCGCGCTGCGATGGACGGCTCGTTTGGCGTGTCCGTGTGGTCCGTGAGCATGTGTGTGTGTTGTGCGTGTGCCGACTGTGTATTATCAATGCGTTGTGCGAGTGGTGCGTGCGTACTTTTGCCGGTGTGTCGTTGGTGTTGTGGGCTAAGTGCACGGCTGAGTGTTGTGCGTGTGCGGGCCCCCTGTGTTATGCATGTGATGTGTGCACGGGTGTGTGTGCACCGCTCCCGGTCAGAGTGACCAGCTCTCTTTGAGTTTGCCGGAGGTTCCTGTCCCGGAAGCCCCGCGGTCCCGGCTAGCCCGGCTGTCGGGCTGTCTCCCCTCCCCCGGCTGGCTCTTTCCGGAGGTGTGCGGCGCCCTCTCCCGGCTGCGGTCTGTCCCTGCAGCCGCGAGTCCGGCCCTGGGTCCCCAGCTCCCCTCCCCCAGGGGTACCCGGGGCGCTAGCGCCTCCCCCTCCTGGCGGGGCTCCCGGATGACAAGGGGTTCTCTGCAAAGCAAGGCCCCAACCCCACCTCCCTCCAGGGTGACAGGACTTTAAAACCGGCCCCAAACGCAGTCGTTTAAAGAACAGCCGTCTCAGAAGCACCTCTCCTATGTGTCTGAGACACTCTATGTCCACCAGGTTGCACAGAGCACGCTTCTCAAATTCCAGCGTGTATGCAGATGGCTGGATGGCATCACCGACTCAATGGACATGGGTTTGGGTGGACTCCGAGAGTTGGTGATGGACAGGGAGGCCTGGCGTGCTGCGGTTCATGGGGTCGCAAAGAATCGGACACGACTGAGCGACTGAACTGACCGATACTGATGCAGATCCCCTGCGCATCTTGTGAAAGTGTGGAGTATGACATATTTGGCCAGGGGGCTGCCCAAGGTGCAAACATTTCTATCAGGCTCCGGTCTGGTCCCAGCACTGCTGATCCATAGACCACACTTTGGAGCAGCAAGGGGCTTTATCACTGGTTCCCAAATGTATGTGCATGTCAGATTCCTGCAGATTGCTTGTTTTTAAAAAAGTAGATTTTTCAGACACCGTTGCTAGGACCTATCAGTGGTTCTGAGTTGCAGCCCAGTGACCTGAATTTTTACAAGTTGGTACTAGACAGTTGGGGGTGAGTGTGAAGCCGAATCTGCCTCTGTATTCTGACACTCAGCTAAATATTGGAGACAGAGTTTGGGGTCAAGTAAACAAGAAGAGCTTTATTGCTCTGCCAGGAAAAGGAGACCCCAGCAGGCTAACGCCCTCAAAACTGTGTGTCCCCCAACCTGGATGGGGCAGCGAGGAGGTTTATAGTAATGGTTCAAAGAGGGCGTGAGAAGCTCATGGACATTCTTCTAATTGGTTGTTAGTTGGGCTTCCCCGTGGCTCAGATGGTAAAGAATCCGCCTGCAATGTGGGAGACCTGGGTTCAATCCCTGGGTTGGGAAGATCTGCTGGAGAAGGGAATGGCAACCCACTCCAGTACCCTGGCCTGGAGAATTCCATGGACTGTATAGTCCACGGGGTCACAAAGAGTCCGACAGGACTGAGCGACTTTCCCTTTCACTAGGTAAGTAAGAGTCAGCATCTTTAACCCTGTGGTTCCAACTGGTCTGAGGTCTACATGCTTGTGGGCAGTGTACAGTTAACTTCTCCCAGCTGGAGGGGGTTTCAGTTACTGCAAAACAGCGCAAAGGTCTCACTATGTGCATCCCTTGATGGGGGCCCGGGATCCTGGCCCAAGGCTCCACGATTGTTCCTCTTGACTGTTTCTCCCTGCTCTCACGTCCCTCCCTTCTCCCTCCCTTCTCCCCTAATTAACAACTGCTTGAATCTGCCTGTTGTCTCTCAGGGAAGGTCCTGGAGGCTGAAAGAAGGCTGCTTCAGGAGGAAGAGAGAGGAGAGAGAGAGAGGGGGAGACAGAAAGGCTTCGTGCCCAGGAGGCCCGCAGAGCCCTGCTGGGTGTGAAGTGGAGAGGCAGTGGGGTTCTGGATGTTTCCACAGAGGAGGTAGTACTGGGATTGGAAAATGGAGAGGAGAGGCAGAAAGGCATGCAGTCCCTTTCACGGTCCAGGGTTTGTACTTGAAGACAAATGACTGCTCGGCTGTAGCCGGCTATGCGCTACTTGCTTACGCCAACTTTGTGTTTATGCTTTGGTCTGGGTTTCCTTGGCTATACACCCACACCATGACTAAGCCATACACCCATGGAACAGTGGCCCTGGGGTTGGATTCTGGACATCACCCCTTACTGTGTGACCTTGCACGATCACTCAGCCTCCCGGAGCCTCATTTTCTCCAACTGTAAAATGGCGATGACAGTAACACCCCCGCGAAGGGTTGTGATGAAAATGAGATGAGAGGTGTGCGATTTCCCCTAGTGTACAAGTCCAAACGGAAGACACCCTTGGCATATTCTCAAGGGTAGGGCCGAGGCGTGAGTTGGAAAGAGGCTTGGAGGGCGCCCTCGTGGACTGCACACCACTGTCCTTTCTCTGACCCATGAACTATCTTCTGCCCCCTCCGGCTGCCGAATCATCACAAACTTGGCAGCACTCGGAATTGCTGGGAAAGTCTTAAAAGGGACTCCTGCCCAGGTCCTGCTTGCAGGGATTCTTATATAGTCGGTCTGGGCTGAGGCCTGGCATCCCCTGGAGTTGTGACGTGTTGTCAAGGAGGACGGGGTGTGGGTCTCACAGGGTCAGGCCGGTTCCTGCCAGGAAGCCAGACACCGCAGGATGGCTCTGTCACCTTGGTTGCAGAAGAGGGCAGCTGCCAGGGCATCAGTAAATCTGAGCGGGTGGGCCCGGCCCCAGGGCAGGTGAGGGGACCTCTACTGATTCGGCAGGAGCTGGAGGGGGGTGGTGTCAGTAACTGGGCAGAGATGAGAGGCTGAAGCCCAGCTCCTTCCCCACCTGTAATGAGAGGGAAAACAGGCCAGGGTGTGTGGTGCCTGGCTGGTCAGCTC